AGCGACAGTGGAGAGGAAAAACTCCCTTTTAACAGGAAGAAACCTCCAGCAGAACCAGACTCAAGGAGACAGAGATTGACACTTGCCTTATTTAGATTCCTATTATGTATCTAGTCTATCTCAATGTCAAACTGAACAAATTCAGATACCCAGCTGTCGTTACCCTAGCAACCGCTTAGCATTTCCTGCCTTCTATTTTGTATTGAGAGCCTTCAGAGTAAAAGCATACATGAGGCATTGCAATCACAGCGGGTTGGTTATTCATAACTTCACATCTACATGACAATGAAAAGCTTTGCTTATATCAGTGGGAAAGGTTCTGAAAAGGTTCTGTTCTGATGCGCTAGAGTGCAGCCATCAGTGTCTGAAGGAATTGCTGCAGTTTTTCCAGCTGAAGCGACAAAAAAAGCTGTAGATGCTAATGTGGGAAACTAGGTGTACTTCCAATCCTGTGCACTTTACATGGAACTGTTATAGCTTTCTTTTTGCTTCTCTATTTGATAATAAATAATATAAAGTCCATTTATATTTGGGTTGTTACCTGACAGTGTTATGTCACTTTATTCACATTGCATGATATTTGGTTCACTCACTCAACAGCTGAATGGGATTTGAGATTCTTTCTTTAAGCCTACTTCATGTTGTCACACAGGTACTCTTCTGTGCTTTAACTCGTTAGGTAAAATAAAAACTCAGCTTTTCCAGGTAATCTTACCCAGTTTCAAGTATTGGATTGGATCAGAAAATACTGGATGTGTGCATTTCCGTATTTACCCGACGTTTTAATAGTAAATATGCACCCAAACTCTGAAACCTTTTTAGTTATCATAACGCTAAGATTGTTTTCCAACCTTATCTCTGCCTTTTTCAACTTAAAGACACAAACCTTTACTGAATTGATCATTTTTGACAGATAATAATCTGCAGCAAAAACAGCATCACTACTAAATGATAGATTTCTTTTTGCTTTTTTGTTTTAAAACAGAAAAACAGATTGAGTCCTTATTGATAACAAGACTGCATAACATAACGGCGTCTCTCCAGCCGACAGTTGTGTACGTGAAGTGGATAAATCCAAGGATAAAAGTGAAATAACATCTTAGCGCACTCCTCTCTGCAGGTGTATGTTTCAGGTCAGGCTCCAATAGTAGGTGTGTGAAGTGGGTGACTGCTGAACGCAGTGGGTGGCTCGGCTCCACCGCTGCACTCAGCCAAACAAAGAGCAGCTGGGAGTTCATCCACGGACGTTTTTTTAAAGCCGTCCGACTCCTACCAGATGCACATGGTCCACGGCACCTGCACCTTAACCCCACTTGTCTCTGAAGCATACGCAAACAGCTAATCGGCCTGCGGGCTCATTCTACTTCCATCCTGCACTCAACCGTCCTGATAATGAGGAGGGGTCCCTGGTGAAGAGCTGCTCTAACATCCTCGGCCTCAGAGTGTGGATAAACAGAGGCTCGTCATGAGTGCCCCGCTCACACATACGCCCCCCTCTGATTAAACGTGCAGAACCTGCTTTCATCTGCAACACGGCAGCACAGTCACACTAAGAAAAAGTGTGGGCTCCTGCAGGAGTAAATATTATCAGTCTATTACTTATTTTTTCCACACTTTGTGTTTTTTTATGGCTGAATTGTGACCTTTAGCTTTCGGTGAGGCAAAAAAAAAAAAGCCATGAAGTTCCTTGGATGTAGTTCTGGCTTCTTTTTTAACCTCCTGGATGAGTTTCTCACTTTGTTAATTCTGGCTCTTGTTTTTTTTTCATCCCAGACCTTTAGAAACAGCTTTGCAACTATATGTCTTTAATCTCTCAAGTTACTTTCTTGAAGCCTACTTCGTGTGGTCAGAAATACGGAAGAGGATTAGGGCCACTGGAAAAAAAAAAAAAAAGTTAACCGATATTTAAATTTTATTTCAGTTTAGTCAGAATTCTGACTTTTTTTTCTCCCAGAATTCTGACTTTTTTTCCTGAGAATTCCGACTTTAATCTCAGAATTCGGACTGAACTCTAACAATTAAAAAAAAGTCAGAATTCTGACTTTTTTCCCCAGAATTCTGAATTTAATCTCAGAATTCTGACTTTTTATCTCGGAATTCTGACTTTTTTTCTGAGAATTCTGACTTTAATCTCAAAATTCTGACTATTCGGACTGAACTCTGACAATAAAAAAAAGTCAGAATTCTGACATTTTCCCCATACTACACTGAAATAAAATTTAAAACTCAGTTAACTTTTCTTTTTTTTTTCTTTCCAGTGGCCCTAATCCTCTTCCGTACAGAAAGGTTCTACTCTTCTTTCATTTTTTTTTTTAGCTTTCAGAGGATTAAAAATATCAGCTCTTCTTTTACCTCATAATAAAGTAAATCATCATAAAACAAAATCTTATATAAGTTTTTTGCAAAGCAAAAAAAAAAAAAAGAAAAAACAACTAAAGAATCAGATGGGGTTTTTTTTTGTTTCTTTAGACCTACTTCATGTGGTCACACAGATTGTATTCTGGGATTTTTTTTTAACTATGTAGGTTGAAGTAAAACTAAATCTTATGTAAACTTTCATTAAAACAAAAAATAAAAATGTGGAAAAATAAGAAACCCTATGTTTCTTTTAAATTTATTTCTTTATGCCTACTTCATGTCGTTGGAAAGGTTCTACTGATTTTTTTTTTTTTTTTTTTTTACTCGGAGTAGGAAATAACAGCTTTCCTTTTAGCTCACAATAAATCACTATCAAACTAAATTTTATATTTTTTAATTAAAGCAAAAAAAAATCTGAGAAAAAGCTTTTAAATATTTAAGTTTTTTAAGCCTACTTCAAAGGTTCTCTTAAGTGTGTTTTTAACTGCAGTCTGGTAAAATAAAGTCAATCACAGCTGTCTCATGATTTTTCCTTTCAGACCATCTAACTTTATTTAATTATAACCTCATAAATGTAATAATAATTATAAAGCTAAATCTTAAACTTTAAACAATGCAAAAAAAGGAAAAAAAAAACAAATCAAAAGAAGCAGATGCTTTTTGACAGTGCATTTCACCTACACTCCTAATTCCAATATAAAATACGCAGTTAAGCTCTACTTTGAACATTCCTGCTTAAAGCAGACACAATCAGAGCATCTGACGGGTTCACCTCCCTCGTACCATGTTGGAACCTAGAGCTGCTGATTTCAGATCCAGCAAGCGGACAACCACATATCTCTGAGGTGTTGATCCATTCTGTGCTGACTGCATCACACGCTCTGCAGACCTGAGAGGTGGTCATGCATGAAAGCTGACCATAGATCAGCCGTTTCAGAGACAGTCAGACCAGTCCCTCTGGCACCAGCAAACGTTCAGAGAATTTAAGCTAAATACGTAAACGAATCTTACGAACACATATTCTCCATCTTCAAGTTTTGTTTCTGATTAACAAAAATAAAGTTTCCCAGATACACATTTTTATAAAAATACTGAAGATTACTTTTTTAATCACTCATAAAATTAGTAAATTTTAAAACTAAAACAATTGGACAAAGAATTGCCATGTATGTAGGTTATGCATAAAAAACAGTAGTCTGACAACACAGCCATGCGGTGCACCAGAGCTCCAATGTTATAGAGGGTAAAACACATCTCACAATAAGAGCAGAAAAATTCTGCTGCCGCTACTAGACTAAGGGCTGCATCATTAAAAGATAAGTTAAAATTAGCATTTCATATCTTATGATGCAAATTAAGCTTAAGCTGCAATGGTTCTACATATAATTTATAAGCACTGGTGCACAGAAAAATCATAGCAGACACAAAAAAGCTGAACAAGAGAGCATCATTTAGGATATTAAATGAGCCAAAATCTTGCAAACGTAAGCTTAATAAAAGCAGACAGCAGTTAAAAATATATATATATTGAAGTAAACTGTAAAGAAAAAAGAAAAAATTGGTCCAAATACGGTTTTCTCTGTCTGTGCATCATCATCATGAGAAACTGATTGAGTAGTACTCTGCAGATATGAATATATAAAGAGCAAAAATGTCTTGAAATGTATTTATTTTCCCTTAATTCGAGCAGGTAAATAAGATAATCTGCCACATGAATGAGCATTATGCTCTGGAAAATAATATGATTAGATGTTATAATTATATATTTACTTATTTTAAAAAAGTTATTGGTGTTATATTTCCTTATTTTAAGTATAAATTACCTCATTCCATTGGCATATTTTTCCAACGTATCCCCTCAAATCAACAGTTAAATACTTACTGATATTTACAGATTTTGCAGTGTTTGTTTTCAGTACAGGAGCCAGAACCACCAATGAGCTTAAGATAAAAATAAGTTTGAATAAAGCTTTTAACACATTTAATTTGTTTTGGCTGGCAGGAGTTTTATAAACTTCAACAAAGTGACTGCAAATATACAAAGGTTGTTTTTGATTTAGAAGAAAACTGCTAGCTGCTAAGGATGGTAACGTTATCTATCAAAAAAATGTCAGAAAGAACTTTAGGCTCAATAACACTTTAGATTTTAAGCCTTTGAATGGCTCCAAAAGAGGAAATTTAGAGTGGCCTTCTAAAAGTACTATGCAATAGAAAACGCTGCAAACAAAAAATGCTGCAATCACCAAAAATAGAGGCAAAAACCTGAAACCATAAAAAAATTAAAAAAAAATCAAGCACAAAATGCTCCAATTGCAGGAAGAAAATGTCAATAGTAAAAACAGCAACAAACTTGCACCAAAAAAACGGAATGTGCTCCAGACCACTAGAGGGAGTCGAACAAAGAACAAATCTCATCAGATTAGATCTATCGTACAAACAGGAAGTCAGGTTTTAATACAGGATCTTTGAAAAATAAAGTTGAAGGAGGAAAGTAGAAGTTTGTCATCTTTAATGTCAGTGTCTGCATTTCCATTTCAAAAATGCGTAAAACTAGGTTGATATTTTGCTAATTTCAAAAATCCTAATTGTTCCAATTGTGGTATTTCTACTAAATAAGAAATGCAAATAAAACTGCAAGCAAATACATATTTCACGAGATGACAGCATGGCAGCAGCAGATGCAAACTTTTTTTATTATTGAAAAAGCAGTGGCGGATGTAAATACATTAAATATAACCACATTTCCGTCACCACGCTGATGGTCTCAAAATAAATATTTTTTTAAAACACCCTCCTTATGAATTCGAATATGCCGCATCATCATCCTACTACTTCTGCTCTTCTTCTTTTTCCAGCCAGTAAGGTCCAGTTGCAGGTCACATGACTCAATTTTGCGAAATATAAGAATTTTGATAAAACCAAGAAAACCACCTCATTGTAGCATACAAATTTATATAAAAAAAAGAAACGCGATTTTTGTCTCCATTTAGCAGACTTATAATTTGCGCAATTTGATAGTTAATGGAAATGAATCTATTTTCAAACATTGTCTAACAGAAAGAGATTAAAGTTATGTATATGACCATATAAAGATAAGTAATGCCATGGTCCGGTGAGGCTAGTCTTGTGCTTGACTCCCTCCAGTGGTCTGGAGCACTTCGGTTTTATAGAGCGGGTTTGCTGCTGTTTTTGCTCTTTGTTAGCCTAGTAAACTAGCGCCAGCGGCCAGGATAATTTTTGCCTGCGAGTTTGGTCTAGCCTCAACAATGCCCCAGGCCCTAGAACTGGCGGGCCAATCACAACGCAGAGATGTGTTTTGAATTTCTGGATGCAAAGTGGGCGGGGTTTTGAGGGCGTGGCGACAAAGCTGCGCAACGCTGGAGAAAGCACAACAAGGAAGATGGCAACAACTATTGAACAGTTCTCATTTGACTCAGCTTTGGAATCAGTTTTGGAAAGAATAGACTTAGGTTTTTGTTAAAACATGAGCAGGAAGAGGCTCTACGCTCATTTATTTTTAAGAAGGATGTATTCGCCGTTTTGCAGACAGGCTGTTGTGCTTCCTACGTCACAGTCAGTTTCACTCATTCATCAGAGCGTTGGTCAATAGGCACAGACATGGTTTGAAAAACAACGGGTTGATCTCATCAACAATCTTCGGATGTCTCATTCATCGGGGAAAGACTAAATTACACATTTAGTCTCAAATTTAGTCTGGTTTATCAGGCTAGCCCTTTGCTTCATTTTCTTTATTGCAGCATTAATTTATTTTTTTGTTGGTGTTTTGCTGATTTTAAATCTTTTCTTCTATTTCATCTTTTGCTGTCTTTTTCCGTTTCATTTATTTTTTGTGTTTGCCTTCCACATTTTGGTAACTAATTTTGTGATTTTAGTCAGAACAGATTTAAGAAAAATGTTACTTCTTACACCACGCCTTAATTACGAATATTATGTAATGATCAGGTTGATTTCTAGTTGGTTTGGATTATTCATTTTCCTATTTTAATTTCAACAAATTAGAACTTGAATAGATGTTGGAGGTCTGTCTGTTTTTCCAGTGTAATCCTGTTTCTCTGACTGTGACCGGCTGGATGTGCTCTCTTCATCCTCTGACATTAGTTGGCTCGGAGCTCGTCTACCTGGCTGTGTGGTTCCTGGATGGAGCCGCCTTTTGCAGCTGCTTTTTGTATCTCTGCTTCTGACTCC